CTGAGGCAGTACCAGAATACTACCTGAAGCAATATGTTTTATTATTGTAGACTGCTGGCTTCAGTCAGATCTCTGATCTAAATGGTCCTAAACTCTCTATTCAAAGATGAGACATCACAGTTTATACAAGAAGAGTCCTTGATTGTTCCCATTCAGTGCAAATTAAATGGTCCATAAACAGTGACATTCCAAAAGATACAAGTTAAAAGCAAATTAGACTCTTGGCTTTTCTTATTTCTTAGCTGATCCCCTCAGATCCTTTGATCCTGGTGTCAAGGCAATGTAAAAAATTTAGAAAATCACCAAAAAGAAATTAGTATGAACCTCCCTATGAAATTTCTACCTCCACTTTATGCATCTGGAGGCAGGCTTTTATGCAGCATACGTGGTTAAGTAGGCTTTGTAATAGACTCACTGGATCCAGATGTGCTAATAGTGCTATTTATAAATGCTTGTAATAATAATGCTATGACAGGCAGAGGTACATACTCTATAACATCTCTTTTTAAGCTTTCTCTTTTCTCACTCCTCCGCTTTGAGCCTATTTAAGTTAGTTATAATGAAAGTCACTTTCCTCCTCCTCCACTCCTTAATTGTCCTCCCATCACTTACTGCATCACACACAGTGGCCCTGTCTTCACAATCAAGGTCTTTACAATGTCACCAGTCTACATCACCCATCTCAGAGTCTTCTGCTCATTTCATATGCTCCTACGGAGCTCCCACTTCTCAGTTCACCCTTTCTTTCCTGCTGTCCCGTGTTTGGTAGTTTCCCACTCCAAACTGCCAGTACCTCTTCTCTCTCCTCCTTCCATCCCCTCCCAAACACTCACTTTTCCCAGGAATCTTTCCACCCTTCTTGCGGAGAACTTCCCCTCACTTGCCCTTTCCTGGATGGGTTTGTCTTGCATTTTTTTGTCTGTCTCCCTTTTGCTCTTCAATATCAAGCCCTCTCCTGTGACCAGATCCTTTAGTACAGAGTTTTGGGGCGTTGCATTAACTCATGGATCATTATAGGGGTCTGTGCTAAGATTCAGTATGAGGTTGTGATATATAAGCTCTTTAGGGGCAGGGCTGATGTCTTAATTTGCTTTGCAAACATCATGTATATTTACAGTGCCGTCTACATTATTTTTATTAATAACAGTGCACATAATAAATCATCTGCCAGCTCTGCTGGAGTAGCCCCTCCCTCCAGCTGTCACTCCCAGGAGCATGTGCTAAGATTAATGGAAAGCCAGCACATGCGAACTCCCTGGAAGCAGAAGTTCAAGGGTCCAGATCAGGGCAGAGACAATGTGTGGTGTTTATAATAGGAAGAAGCTGT